AAAAACTTTTTTTTTTTACGTTTTTTTTAAGTTTTACTTAAACTTTAACTTTTTTTTTACTTTTTTTTTTTACTTTTTCGTCGACCAATAACCCCCTTACCCGTCCCGTCCCCCCCCTACCCCCCCCACCCCCCACCCCCACCCACCCACACCACCCCCCCCCCCCAAGGAATTTTTTTTTTATATATTTTCAGTTTTATTTTTTTTTATCTTTCGAATTTACAGGTTCGAAATTTTTCAAGTTCCAAAATTATGAGTTTGGAGGTTTATGTGTTTGAAAGTTTACGGGTTTAGAAATTATAAAGTTTACGGGTTCGAAAATTCGCGGTTTTTACGTAAAAAAGTAAAACATCACATTAGTTCCTTTGGGTTGTGTCAATTTTTAGAGACTTCGGGAAGGGGTGGGGGGAGGTGGGAGGGGGAGGGGGAGGGGTGAGGAGAGTTGCATAAAAAATATTTTCCTAAAAAAAATATTTTCTACTCTCTAACCAAACAGTAGAAAATATTTTCCGAAAAATGTTTTCCACTTACCAACCAAACAAGAGAAAATAAGTGATAAAATCACTCATTTTTCATGAAAACATTTTCTAGGAAAATATTTTTCATGGAAAAACATTTTCCTTCATACCAAACACACCCTAAAAGATTGAAAATAATGTTTGGGCTAGTCGAATGTTATGAAACTGAGTAATCAATTTATGTTTTGCACAAAACAGAAAACAACAACAAAAAGAAGGGTTCTGTCTACTGATAACTATATCTTCTATCATCGGTTATAATGAAAACTCTTTTGTGAGGAAAACACTTTCAATAATTCAACTAATCAAATATTTAAACTAATTTCATAAAGATATTTTCGAAAATAATCTTTTCACTTATTTAAAAACACCACTAGTAAAGTTAATAGTCACAAAGCAATACCAAAGGACTTCTTTTGGCAAAACACAAAAGCAAGATGCTTAATTTCGTCTATATGAGCTTGTTTACATTGTCGGCTTCAAGTCCGAATGAAGGGGATCATAGACCGACAATCCATATAAAATTAGCCAATTTATTAATCCTCATAATACATGTATTAATGAAAAGTGCTCATCCTAAATTTGTTTCGGATTAAGCGTAAATTTTATTATTTATGATCATCTATATTTATCTATACCTATACTATATTAAAAACACGAAGGCCCTTAGCGAAATGTCGTTTGCCTTTTTTACCCTCTAAAATTAGATTTTATGTATGACAAAATTATAATTTAAGTTTTTCCCTAATTTTTAGAAGTTCTAAGTCAACTAAAATTTTGGTTTAAAATATATTCCTTATCTGAATAAGTAGAAAGTTCTACATTTTGAAATCGATTAAATACTTGCTTTATATAAACGCTTCGCTAAGAAGGTAACAAAACCATCCATGTTTATTTGTTCTATAATATTAATTTTCAGAATAAGAAAATAAAAAGAAAAACAAATGAAAGGGAAAGAAGTAAAGGATTTCCATTTCTTTGCATTTTTAACTCCTTTTCAAATCGATTTTTCCGCCTACAAGCTATAGGAATAGAATTTTAGTGGATAAAATTATATTATAGTTAAATATTTAAAATTGGAGATGAACAATATTAATAATTTAAATCAACAAGGAAATAAATTATTTCCTTTAATGTTGACAATAAACTATTAAATCTTTGAATTAACTTAGCTAAAAATCTAATCCAAATCTTTTCTAAATTATGAATGGTCTTAGCAAAATGTTATTCGCCTTTTTTACTCTTTAAAAATAGAGTTCACACCAGACAAAGTAGATAGAAAGTCTAAAATTTGTGACTTTAAATTAATTAAGACTTTACTTTATAAAAATTCTTTTCTTATAACAAACTATATGAAAGAACAATACTCATATAAAGACTTTGAAGTCAATTAAAATATTTATTCTAAAGAAATTTTTTTTGTCGTATATTTTATTTTTCTAGCGACACAAGCATTTTTAGACCGAACTATGGCATATTTGTCTTTAATGATTTTATTATTATTTTAAGAGTAAATTCAAAAAAAATCTGCTAAATTATATTTTAAAAAGGCAATAACAATCATAACACGAAAAAAATACATGAAGTTATTCTTAAAATGTGAGTCATAATGCGAATTTTCTTTCAAAATTTAGTCTTTCAACTATACAATGAATTCAACTTATGCATAATAAATATGACATTACGATGTAGAGAAAAATTAAATTGAACGCCACAAACGCAAAATGAGAGTTACGGCTAAAAATCAACATTCAACATTTTCACGAACATATATATTTTATTTAATCTTTATTTATAACTCAAGCAAATTATTGTTTAAGTGATTTTTTAAAATTTTATATTTATTAGTATAGAATACACGCGCAACGCGCGTACCATAAGACTAGTAATATAAAATCAGGACGCCTACGGTATAACAAAAAAGGCAAGTGGTAATTTGTGGTAAAACCATCTAAGAGCCCATGCATTGAAGGCCATAACCATCAACGCCCCATACCCTTTGAAAACGGGAGAAATTAAAAAAGGGAAATTTTCATAAAACACTATCTTTTAGTAGTAATTAGCCATTTATAGATATCATTTGCTATATTACGGATTATAGATATCTTTTCTGTGGTTATAAGATGTATTTGATGTATTTAAGCAATTGTATTCATGAATACAGTAGCAAAAATAGGCGTGAATCATGGAAGTCCAGCTAATCAGTTGTTGTATTCGACTGTATTCATGGAGTGAAACATGGGATTACAGCTGGACAAATTATTGTATTTGACTGTATTCGACTGTGTTCACGGCGTGAAATAGGGGATTACAATATTTTTAAAACGGAAAATGAATCAATTAACATAATAGACTCCTAATATAACTCAACAAACTCAATTATAACACAATTTTTTATTTATTTTCAGTTATAAAAAAGATTCTCAACCGAAAATATCCCAAAAACATAGCAATCTTCAGAGAAATTATATAATACATCTGAATACATAAATTATATTAATTAAAAAAAACATATGAATACATTCATGGCATATAGCGAGACGGTGAAAACAATGAAATACATAGCGGGATACATTGAAA